CAGAAAATACTACAGGAATTGAGAACTGACATTTACCGGAAAGGTAAAGGTATTTATATACCAATTTAACAGAGAGAATATTTGGGAAAGGTCAAACGTGTCAGAAGTGACAGGATTTAGTAAAAGTCATGGTTTTAACAGGTTTCAATATATATACATTTCCATTCTTTTGTTCTTTGTGCTTAATCGCTTTGGAGCACCGTTGAAGAACAGTTTAGATGCATAAAAACTTATCTAACACAATATTGTTGTGTTATTCAACTCCAAAGGCATCGATTCATCATTTCATGTGTTGTATAAGCATACAAATATTTTTCATGTGGTACAACAATATAGCATGCTGTGATTGGCTAACTGGTTGAACTTTGACCGAAAGGGCGCTACGCGTTCTCACGGAACATATTTTGTCGCAAGAAACGTTGGCAGTTCATGATTTGCCGTTTAAATGATAAAAGTTCTACGATTGCTGTTCATGGTTGTCGTGGATAGAGCAGAAAGAAGAGGTCCTAGTTGATAACGTGACAGATAATCATTTGCACATTTTTGACAATAATACTCAAAGGTACATTAATTAATATGACCAGATATCCCGTTCTACATGGCTGGCTCTCTGAAAATTACCATGTCCATTTCTGTTACCGGTTGTCCTATGGTCCAAAGTATTTGTTTTAATATGGTTACGCGACAGGAATAATGTGAAGTAAATGAATAAATATCTGTATCAATGTGGTTATGTTTTTACCTTAGAAAAGCCAAAGACAGTCTCAAAAGGTTGATGATACTATATAAATACTTAAATAATTTAACACACGGTTGAGTTAATATAGCACCTGCCAGTGAAAAAATTGTTGAACACGCATTCAAAAGAACCCAAGAAAATGTCAGTATATGACTTGATGGGGCAACTTTGGCTATCAGATCAAAACTGTACTGTGTTAGAATTTGTGACCAAGCGTCATGTGTAACGTTATTAGCTGGGATCAGAACGCCAATTCATGCCCGGGGTCCACACGTACTCTTAAGGGTCTTGTAATACTACTTCTAAATTACGTAATAATTAACAGACATTTCTGCTTTTTGAAAGTTGCAGTAGTATATCATGATGATATTGTCGCAAACTTAATAACTTCACCGTTATCCTTGTTCTTGCATGTTCTTCTGTGTTCGTTTCTGTGCCTTTTCTAGAATTTGTGGGGAAGGTATTTAAGATATCAAGTGGCATCGTCTGACGTCAGTAACATTCAAAGTGATCTGAATCTTCACTGAACTTTGAACTTTCGGAGTCAGGCTGTTGTTTTTTATGTATCATTGCGTATTGGGACCAGTTATTTTCAACATCATCGTTCGGACTTCTAAGGAACGACAGATTTGTACAAAGTACCTATCCCTTATTGACACAGATCAGTTTCATTGACACAACAAATGCCATGTTAGAACTATCTAGTAAAGTGTATTGAATGTTTGCTACTGTGTTGATATCACAAATGTATTCCGTCCTCCAAATGAGTGTTGAGGTGAAAACTGCAAAGATGCAGACAAGATGCTGACAAGTCTAAACGAAGGCGATACCAACACAGTATTAACACGGAAACAAGAAAATGATTTATGTGTGACCTAGGGTGGAAGACTTCCACGTCATGAGTTATATAACTGACGAAAACAAAGGTAGATACAATAACAAAGTCTTGCTTGTTAAGATTGTACGAAAACACAACAGCGCCTTTTATTACAAAGTTATAATAAGGTAGAGTAAATACAGTGATCCTAAACTCTAACTTCTAAAGCCTAGAAGGCGACTGAGGAAAATCCTAAATGGTAGAAAAATGTCAAAATCTAGATGGAGTGTTGCAGTACCCCCAGAATCAGTACAAATGATGTAATTTTCATTTATCTGAAAAATTTAGAACAACGTGAGGTACATGTGTATATTCTGAACTGTGGCAAGCGTGGCCTTGGTTAACTCCTTTATTTAAGTAGCCGACGTCACCAATTAACAGCATGGACATTTTTTCGGTTTTTAATTTCAGTTTTAGTTCATTGAGTCAGAAGTGGTCGAGGAAATTTTTAAGTCGGATGAACAGATGATAAAAGTGTTATAAGGACTTACAGAGTTGAAATTACACAGAACCAATCAGTACTAAACTGCATACATAATTATTTAATGATTAAGGTCATAAGTAAGTTATAAGTTAAAAAAGACAACATCTTACCAAAGTGTCGTGGAAAAGTAGAAAAAAAGCAGTTAACTTATTTGTTTCTGGTTTCTAGAAAATTGTCACGCCTTTGGTAAGTCAACTTCAGAGCGTGGAATTTTCATTGGCTATCAGTATTTTTAAAGAATTCAAAGACCCATTTCTCGTCACATGATTTTATGTTGAAATACTAGCCACGTTAATGATTCATAATTGTGGAATATGTTTTGTACGTGTTCACATGTCCTTTAACATTAAATAAAGGTATTTTTAAAGTTGTTTGTTATTAAGCCGAATACACAGCTACTAAATAAAATAACAAAAACATACACGAAGAATAAAACCTAGTGCTCTGGAAGAGGAAGCGTCTTCTGCTTATCTGTATGTATATGTAAATATCCGTCAATCTAAGTAGGTAATGTCAAACGAGAGAACTACAACAACGGAACCAACAGGCGGACTAACGAGCATCAAACACATCCTACTTCAAACTGCACATGACAATGAAATATAACGACCGTGAAATTCCCCATATCATTCTTCATTCAGCATCTCTGGAAATAAAGATGTTCTAAAAATATGTCAAAATAAATGTGGTTTGTTGATGCATATAAAAGTTTAGTGTCGTGCGCACTTAAAAGACTGTTGGGCTAGTTGACTTTGAGACATTGTTATTGGGAAGAAGTCCGAGGGGTTCGGAGAATCGGCTTGGGTAGAGGAAGCGGGAAGATGGCGAGTGAAGAAGACGGAGCCTGATACCATGATGAAGGAAAGACAGACCTCACGTGTTGTTTTAGAGTTTAACCAATGGGTTAAGGAGTGAACTTTGACTCTGTGTGTGTGTGTGTGTGTGTGTGTGTGTGTGTGCACCATGACCGCGAGAGCCCGAGCTCGAGCGCTGTGACCCAGTGTTATCACGAATCGAAAGTAAGGACGCTCTGCATAGGGAAGTGACTTTCACACACTGTGAGTAGGGAAGAACATGTGATTGGTCTATCTGCTATTGTGTAGTTTGTATATTGAATTTTTTAGTTTATTATATAAACTGTTAATTGTTTATTGGTGTCTGTGTTGTATTTTACGTTCCAACGAAATACTATCAAGTATACCTAAATGAAAGATCCCAAAATTTATTGTCGTCTCAGACAAAATATATACATGAAAATTGCAATTAAAACATATTATAAACTTGATTTCATTTAACAGCTATTTGATAATACAAATATATTATAACCAGTGACAATTGACAGTGAAGTCCTCTTTTACATAACAAGTGTTTGCTGTCTACAAATACATTGTACTATTTCATACATAGAGAATGTTTAAACGTCGGGAGTTCTACATGTATGTAACCACCTTCTATTTCACCTTTTTGATTAGTAGTTTCGTAATAGAGATTGCAACATGAGGGCCAAGGTTGGAGATTTCTCTGTCACATACTCTGAGGGTAGGGATGATTATTTTTCTCCCTTCCCATTATTTCCGCCACGATGTCGACAACAATTTTATTTGCTTCAGGATACCGATAGCTAGCAGACGATGTTTGTTTACAATCCAGGAGTAGTTCTGATCGAACTTCTGGTTTAGTACGTGCTAATCGGCACAAGGCTATCTATCCCTAAGGGGTGACAAGCAGATCTTCCCCGGCTTAAAAGGGAGACACGGATGTGAATGGTGGGAGAAAATGTAATGTAACTACAGTCAGTTTTAAGCGAGTGTATTTATTTGTATTATGAGATCCACTTCAATACTTACTTTATAAACAGAGCACATTTGATCTTTAAAATAAGGACAGAAAATTGCACGGCCTTTCAATGATCATACTGTAACTGTTTATCAAAATAGATGTGATGATACCAATGACACCGTTTTAATGGATTGCTGAAGATTGATATATCTAGTCCAATAGAGCTAAATTTCACACAGTGAACGTGGAAATTTACGAAAGCGTGAAATGTATGCTAATTTTGCGAATGTTAGTGCCCAAGTGATGGTTCGCACATAGCTTCTATTCATGTTACTTCCAAATACACCACTGAAATGTTTGGCAGCATTGTTTGGTCCATTATCAATCCTATATCGTGGACTTTTGTACCGGAGTATAATGGGAATATTCTTCACGTTCTTTCCGGACTCAGGGGTTTTGCTGCATCAAAAAATTCATTTCAGATTATATCTATAGTATCTGCTAGGTTTAAATCAGGTAATCCATAAATGCTCTTTGGTGTTTTAGTTAATAAATCTTAACAATAGGCATTCTTGAAATATACCGTGATGTAAAGCTTTGTGAAGTTTTGTTTGGATCTAAACCGTAATCCTCATAATACTCGAGAAACGTATCCACTTGGACAAACGCAAAAATAACAGTAGCCATGATATGTATTAACACTTTGTTGTTTAATATATACACTGTACGTGTACACAGGTAGAGTTCTTTAAGTGCACGCAGGCAGACAATGAGCTCTCCGTCAAGCAAAGATCAAGGGAGACAACTCTTACTGATTTTAAAAAAAATGCTTATTACGCGAATGTCTTTAGATCGCGAAAATAACCCCAACGCTTACAATTTACCCATAGAAATAGCTAAATTATCCCCACCCCTGCGAAAACTTCCATGATAAGTTTACATTTTATCATCGAAATATCTTTGTTTAAAATAAGAACATATCTGAAATTAAGTTTAACAATGTCAATTGATTCATACCATATAATCTCCTATGTGCCATAATAACTATTTTCCTGACGCAGTTCGGATTTTTTCATCACTTAAACGTTGGCTTCGTCCGTTCGTTTCCGCTGATGGCAGGTTTATCTCACAGCCATCTGAAATCAAAATCATTGTCATATTCTTAGTGTGTTAATTACACATTGTATCAAAACTCATAGAGAGTACAAAAGACACACAACTGAATAATGTCTTTTAATACAAATTTAGAGTCAGAAACAGTAGAACCAAAGAATGAATTCAACTGCATCATACTGTTTCGTCCTAAATTTTGAAGCCTGGGAGGCAACTAAGGGAAGTGATCGGAAGAGAAGTCAAAATCTAGTTCGAGAGGTGAACCAGCCCCAAGAACGCCATGAACATACAGAGTAAAATACTAGGAATCTGAAAACTATGATAGCATTATTTACACACCGTTAGTCACTAATGACAATCAGCATAATGTCAAACGATACAGTATCTTCATCTGAGTAAGTGAAAATGCAGTCCATGAAAATAACAACGAAATGAAAATTAATAAAAACCCAGGAAAATATAGTTTGATGTATTGCAGTTTTTTTAATAAGACAAGTGTAACCATGAGACAGTCATATCCCTATAATTTGTTTTTCGTGAGTTCTTCTACGGCCTCCTCCCAGATTCCGTCCATGTCAAAATGAGCACTCTCGTGAGAGAGTTGATTAAACACGAAGAAATATTTATCATCTAATCATATTGATAATGTTAGTGAAATACACTCACAGGAAGGGATCTTTTTCTCCTCCAGATATAAGTCATGGTGTACAGGAACGGGTTTACACCGGCATTTACCGGAAGTACAAACACCATCACCCATGCATACACCTCATCTGAGAGTTGAGTTCCACTAAGCGCTGTAATTCCTAGAATAATCACGTAATCGATGACAGGAATTCAATATTTATCATTATTCTTTATAATATGAAGTATCAAATAGATTTCATAATATGTTTACGAAAATAGAATGTCAGATGGAGTTAAACCCGCGGATATTATCAAACTTTTATGTCAATAGTGAATAATATAGCAGTCATCATACACATTTACTTGTATATTAATGTTGTTTCAGCTGTATCAACATCTTGGTATGCTGTCATAAATTTGACAAGAAAACACACATGGAAAAGAAATCAGCGTTTACGTTAACGAACTGTCCTTCGACTATCGATTGGCGTTTTTGTACTGAATGACTTTGGTTGGGTATACTTACCCATCACACCAATAGGAAACCAGCAGCAGAAATCAGTTGCTACCACAAGGAATAAGGTTCGTGCGATTGTCTTATCTTCCTTTTGATTCGGCCTTTTTGAAATATTTGGTCTCTTCCGAAGGCAGACGAATATTGTGACTTGTCCTACTAAGATTGTGATAAATATGAGGCTGTTGAGGCCAATAAAGACAGCAGCAGAGTATTCCGCTCCTATCTTCTTGTGAGCGGTCAGTGGTAATGCGAGGCATACGCTTGACTGGGAGTAGAATCCACCTTTAAAGTATGACTGCACTGAAATCGTCGGAACGATTGCTATTGTAATAGAAACTACCCACATGACTAATGACACGAATGTAGCCAGTCTCCATGTGCTTTTTTGAAGAGTGTAACGAGATAAAGGAAAAACAATGACTATCAGTCTGTGTAGTGTCACTAACAGAACTAAGAAAGTGGACATCTCACTGGACACTGTCGATAACACGCCAGCAGATGTGCACAGTAAACTTTCTCTCCATTTCATAGCATTTAAAGCATACACACCCTGATAGTGCGCATCTACAGCACCTATTACCATCAGATAAACACCCATTAGAAAATCCGAAATAGCCAAATTCAATACAAAAACTGAGAAGTTTTTTGACATATTTTCTCTATCAATAATAGTTCGATAGAAAATAACTAGAAAATTTCCAACTACCGCACATATTCCTATAATCCAAAGAAAGATTCTTAATATCTTTGAGCGAATAAGCGTCTGGCAGGACGACATTGCGTCAAAATGTACCTCACAAGATGAGCTTAGACATAAAGTTGACAAACATTTATTATCGGCGACGGATTTCGGTTTTACGCAACACGAAAAAGGAGTATTAGTCAGTAAAATCTCTAAGTTGTTCAAACCTTCAAACATATCCTCTCGAACGTTTAATGGATTGCCTATAATATTCAGACACTTCACTTTACCACTTCTCTTAAATGACCCGGTCGGTATGAGACTTAATTTATTATAAGATATATCAAGATGCATTAGTGAGACAATTCGTCTAAAAGTTTTGGTTGTGATAGCAGTGATTTTATTGTTTGATAGATTCAGGTTGGCGAGACTAAATAAACCTTTAAATGCGTTACCGGGGACGGACGGTATCATATTGTAGGATAAATCCAGATTTCTCAGACTAGAGAGTCTATTAAATACTTTTCTCGTGAGGGACAATATCCTATTGTGAGATAAATCCAGGAGGGTGAGATTACACAGATCATTAAACACGTTATCAGGAAGAAATGATATCTTATTGTTGGATACGTTTAGGCTGACAAGGTCGGAAAGGCCTACAAAAACTTCAATTGGAAGAGTTGCTATGTCATTATAGGACAAACGAAGTTCCAGCAAATTTGAGAGACCCGTGAATATTTTATCTGGTAGATATAAGACATGATAGTTGGACATATCTAGAAATTCTAACCTAAGAAATCCACTGAATGCAAAATCTGGAATCAGCATGGATGGAAATCCATGTAATTCTCGACAAGCATATGTGATCTGATAATACGAACTTAAGTCGTTTTTCGACAAATCTAATTTGAGAAGATTTGGTAAATTTAATGGCAATATTCCTCCGAAGAAATTATCTGATAAATTAAGATATTCTAAGTTTGATAGTCCGCATAAAATGTTTTTATTTACACCCCACCAAAACTCAATACTGGTATTGAGCGCATTGCATATTGTTTTTAGACCTGAATTTTGTGACACAATGACACTATAGAAGAAAGGATTCAGAACAACAGGGGAAATATCTGGAGCCATCATTAACTGATACATTTGGTTTATATCAACCGAGGTTAATCTGGGCTTAATCAATAAACTAGAAAAATTAGTTGGAGGCAGCAAATATATATAGTTATCAAACAGATCCAGGCTCCTAATGCTGCACAACCTACCAAATGCATATTCGCTAATGACTGTAATTTCATTGTGGGAGAGATTTAGTCGACACAAATTAGAAAGTCCATTAAAGGCATAATTGTCTATAGTGCTAATTCTATTCTGAGAGAGGTCAAGGTTAGTCAAATCGGACAGTTCATTAAACACATAATTATCTATAGTTTTGATTTTATTTCGGGAAAGGTCAAGTTCAGACAAATCTGACAGTCCATTAAATATATCACTGTTAAGTGTTTGGATTCTGTTTCGGGAAAGATCAAGAAGGACAAGGCATGACAATCCAGAAAATGCACGATCATGGATCTTGACAATATCACTACGAGAAACATCCATGCAGGTCAACGAAGAGTTCAAACATTTCGTAAGCTCTGAAATGAAAGCAAAAAAGAAAACAAAAAAGATTTAGCATTTTGCTTTCACAAAAAATAAATTTACCCTCTGGATTTTATATAGGTTTCCGTCGATATGAGAACGTAAAAGGAAATTTCCATAAATTTCATAAGAAATGGAAATTAACAAATATTCTGATTATCAAATAACTTGGATATTTTTGCAAATCTTCGTAAAACATTATTTTGTTAAACTTGTATATAATATAAAACGGCGATATTCTTATTATATTTCTTTGATGACGTCACAATGAAGATGATTCAATCACAATGCCGCTGGATCATAGCAAAAGCTATGGGTGATAACACACTGATCAGAATGTACCTATGTGAAAGGTTATGCTATGAATGAACTGATTTTTCTCTACATATAAGATATGAACTCGTTTTCCGGGTATATACTCAATGTAGACAGTAAATGGGTCTTGCAATATCATTTTAGTTGTGCTGTATAGTTAAATCACGTCTTGGAAGCCGTGCTCATGGCGTACTAAATAGGGGTTGAGAACCAGTAAAATGAAAATTCTGGATGGTAATCATGAAATAAAAAAATCAATGGATGATCTGGTAGCGCATTGGTAGTACACTCGTCTTTAAACGAGGCGCCCGGTGTTCGATTCCGTGTAAAAACACGGGATCAAATGTCCGCCCACGTGGGATTTCACCACATACTCCGGTTTCTTTCAAAAATAAAACTCTTCGCAAGCTCACATTGGCGTTAACATGAGTAATAAATATATGTTGGAAAAACTTGTTTCGTTATTGCATTAAAACACACAAAGTTCATTTCCAAAATCAGAACATCTAACTATGCAGTGAAAACTAAACAAAATGAGAACATGGAATATTGGTCTCAAACTCAAACCGTTGACATTACTAAACCGAATCCTGGGTAGATTTTGGAGCCAGCAATCAAAGGATATGAGGCGTTTCTATCATCTTAATTTTGAACCATCTCTTGTAATGGCAACCAAAATTAATTGATTATAGATAATAAAGGATTTGGTATACATAATATTATATGAAATGGACTGTTTTTTATTATCTGTTTCGTGTTATCTTCTATCATCAGTCTTGCGGGGTTTCTTTCAGTTTATCGATGAAATAAAAAGAGAGGCCCACAAAAACAATGAATTTATTTGGAACTTTGGGAATATATCAACAGAAAGTCTGCCTTTCGATCAACTTAATATTCAAATCAGTATTAAGATAAATAATCACTCACCTCAGACAATTTAATATGAAATCTGAAAAGAATTTATCAATTTTTTAAATATTAATTGGGATAATAGATTGTGTTGGTGTTGTTATCCGGGCGCAAATCAAACCTACATGTTTATTTTGAAGTACAAATTATCCAAAGCTTTCTGAGAAATAGCGATAAAAGCTTCATCTGCCGAAAGCTAAAGCCAAACTAATCTGATAATGACCCTCTATTTATTTCTTGGGACAGCATATATTTTAGGATCTAATACACTGAATTGAGTAAAAATTGAAGAGATAAATGACTTTTAACACTAGGAGCAACTGGGAAGGCCAAAAAAGACCTTTGTCACATGTTTGTTTTAAGTTCAATGTTCAAGGTATGTGTGTTCTGAATAAATGTGTGCAAAAAGTATCGATATGGAATTGAACAAATACAAAATATTGATGGTATGTTACAAAGCTAGGTATATAATCGTTCTTAATGGATGTTTAAAACAATCCTACTTACCAGCCGTTAAACGTTTAGAATTATGAAAAAAGGAATGAATAGAAAGAAGGATAAGCGAAAATGCAAGCGAAAGATTAAAGAAGCTGACAAGTGAAAGAAGTAAAAGCAGAAAAATGAGAAACACATCTAGATTTGAAAGGACTGTCCATATATTCATCTCAGTATTTAAGAAAGTACTTACCACAAGGTAAACCAATCCCGATACAGGAGAAATAACAATTGTAGTTATCATACGAGTATCCACAGTCATTTTCTGGAATTCATATAAAAAATCAATTAAAATTCTGTTATATATTATAGAATAGGGTTTACTATGTTGTACTCTACAATATTATCGTATGTGCTTCTTTATCCCATATCTGCGTCTGTTTCACAACAGATATGCAACGTGATAAAATTCGTAGCACTGTGTTATTGCTTTTTTTACACACCACACCCCGCGATATGTAAACACTTTCAAAGCCTCTGACTGGTCGTCTCTGACCTCCAATAATTCTGATTTGTTAACCTCTGAACTTTGACATCGGACTACATGTCAAGCGCTTTGTTTTGTTGTTGTCTGTCAATGAAAAATATCAACATGGCCACCGATCATCAGCTTACACAGAGACCCAGTAAATCCACAGTACACTGAAACAAATACAAACACCAAAACTTTGATGGTGTTGGTATTTGTGCCGGATTAATGTAGTGTTAACTTGTACAAAGAATTCCTCCGTTTCTCCGTGTCGTGGTCTGTATGAAGTCTTGCGATTTGCTTCCCTCTGACGATTTAGGAATGAATGCACGCTGATTATTCAGATTATGCTTAAACACGGGTCTCATAGACAAAGAAACTAGATATCCTTTGACTGACCACTCAACGTGGAAACGTCGTTTTCGTTCGAGATGTTACTAACAAATTAATGTATGATTCCTGTACAGTATATTTTACTACTGTACAAAGCACACTCCGATATTTTTTGGGCTCGTCAACGAAGCCAAGAGCCAGATTTGTTCAAAGACATCGAATGTAATATTTAATGAATATTGCGAGGATTTATCCTTTTCTAACGGATATTTTGCAATTGATTCATGGAAATGCTTATACTTAATCTATATATTAACTCTTTTTTTCTAAATTCATCACAATAATTTTGTGATTTTAAGATACTACATTTTGAGAAGAAACATGTGTATGACGAACAGAGGCGGCCATTTTATTGTGCCCTTTTTCATTCATGCTGTTACGTTATTATGTCCATATTATTACAATATTGTTGACTTATACAAGTCAATTTATGGTTAAACCTCAATATAAATAGTGGATATGAAACTTCAAAGCAAAAACAAATCAAAACATAGATACCGCTTTACGATTATCACACGGTGATATAAACGCAGATATGATACAAAAGACTTCACAGGGTAACAAACAGACGGTGTGATAAACTAAACATGTCCACCTACACAGCATATTTGTATGTACAATATACATGGCTTACATATCTGTATGTGATAAAAAAAAAAAAGCAAAAAAAGAAAAACAAAACAAAAAACAAAAAAACTTACCAATACAATCATCCGCCGGAGTCTTATCGTGTTTTCTAAATAGGTCTGTTTGGGTAACATATTCGTTGCGAAAAGATATGTCAGTCATGTTTTCGTCCTCCACATTGCACTCTGTAGATATATCTTCCAACAGTGACTTGAGTGTTCTGTTTGAATGTTCGTCTGTATATACCAATTTATTAATGTTTTCTTCGCGGATTTTTCTGAAGAAGAATAATCTTTTATCTTGTACATCTTCCAACAATGAATCATCATTATCATCATTGATGTCAACATTTCTTTTTACCATTACTTTTCCATTTTGTTGACTGCTATTCATCGTTGTTGTATATCCACATCCTTGATGGAACCATTGGCAATAGAACACAAAGAAAATAAACAGAATATCTGTGAAAAATAAATTTAGCATTTCGTTAAAACATCAAAAAATAGCTGAAATAAAAAGTGACTGATAAAAACTGTAAGAAATTTTCTTGTCGCCTAGAGCTGTGGTAGCGTCCACTACAGCAGTGTCAGATAATGTCGAGAACTGGAGCATTTACATATGTTTGTGTTAATAAATTGCCAATGGTATTTATAAGATTTGGTCACGAATATTGAGTTATTAGTAAAACAAACAATTAAGTAATTGGTGTTTACCATATGTACACAATTACACAGAGTTTGATAAATAATTTCCTGATGAAAACCACAAATATTGTTTGATTGTCATAACAAAAATTTGGTTTCAGTGCAAAGCTCGTGACAGGTGGCATATTCCGTCATGATATAAAATGAGAGATTCATTAAGTAATTATTACTTATTGAATTATTAATGCATTATTGGGTAAATGTCACTGAAAAGGCACAAAGATTATTATAATATAATCAGCCAAATTCGGCCATTTCTGAATTAACAAATAGGCATTGATCATTCAAAACCGAAATTGAAATATCCTTTGTGTAAACTGGTAGTGTTAACAACTTACATGTCTTCAACAGTAAACTTATCTTAACAAGCAAGATTTTGTTACGGTATTTACCTTTGTTTTCGTCAGTTATGTTATTCATGTTGAAGTCATGCTTGTGCAGCGTATGGAGAATAAGATGTCTGCCACCTTCAATCACACATAGATCAATCGCTTGATTAAGTGTTAATAAATTCGGAAGTAACTTGAAACACAACCCGGTTTGTTGTAGATCCTTCATATATACACACATTTAGAGGTATGTTTACGTCAATGAAACTTATTCGTCGTAATACGAGATAGATACACTGTACACTTTTCTTGTTTTTCGGAAGTCCGAATGATGATTGTTGGAAATTACGAGTCCCATCACCTCATAATAACATCATGAGCGAGCAATAATCTGACTCCGAAAGTTTCGAGTTCGATGACAATTCAGCTCACTGTATGTTTATGTTACTAACGTCTACTAAATATCCTCTTCAGATTGACAAAAAACTCAAGAAAAGAGATTGCAGCAGTATAATCTATAAACTAACGTATATTTTAAGAAGCGGCTAATTATTACGCAAAAAATTATAGTGTGGAAAGATGCATGTCAAGATGACTTTATCATTTTTCTCCTGATCCATATCTGATCAAGTAAACCATTTCTTTTTCTGTTATATAACAATCGATTTAAGCCTTGATTTTTGAGACTGTCAAGAATCGTAAAAAGCAGATACAAGTAAAATGAGATTATCATAGATAAACGTTGTCCGTTTCAAGACTTTTTTGAAATGACATTTTACTTACTTGGTGCTATAGCAGCGAAAAATTGAACCATTGAGAATAAAATTTAACTGTAGAACCCGTTACCTTTATCACTGATGTTGAAATGGGGCAAATGGAACCATGTCGGAGAAAGTGATTAAATCCAAAACATGTCTTGAAGTCTGGATACCAGCTGATGGCGTTACACCACAGGTTCTGGTCACAGATTCTGGCACATTCCAGTTTTGATCTGGTATCTATTTATCTACATTATTCCTGTCGCTGTACCATATTGAAACATACATACCTACATGGTCGCGATACTTTGAACCATAGTATTACCGATACAAGAAAGAACATGGCAATTCGAAGAGCGTCAGCCATCTACAATGAAATATCTTGTCTCATTAAAATGCAACTTGTTTGTCATTATGAAAACATGAATTTGATTATTGTAATGAGACCAAACTATCATCCTTCTTTTTACTCTATCAACAACAACCATGAACTGCCGTCGCAAAACTTTGTTGATTATAACGACAAATTATGAAATGACGTCTTTTTTATGATAAAAAATAAAAATCATATTTATGTATAGAAATAGAAATCAAATTATTACAAAAAAATACGAACTACTTATTGCGCGTTCTGATAAGTGGGTGAAGCGCCCTTTCGGTCAAAGTTCAACCTGTTAGCCGATCACCGCATTTTATATTGTTGTGCATGTGGAACAAAATGTATGTTTATACAACAGATGGAATGATTAATTGGTGCCTTTGGATTTGCATAAAACCAAACTATTGTGGTAGAACAGGTTTTTATACATGTAAACTGTTCTTAAGTGGTGTTCTAATCTAAATCTGACACATTTAGCTTTTCCCCAGTGTTTTCTCTATTAAATCGATATAATATTTTCTCGACTTTTGCGGTTCTGTCAGTTTTAGGCTTCAATAGTTAATCGCGTAATATCACTGACGGGTTCTAAAAGGACAAAAAACAACTGTATGACGTAGTTTATTTCATTACTTGGTTCTACTTTATTAAATTCTAAATCTGTATTCAAAGCTGTTTTTTACTTGTGTCTTTGCATAATCTTCATAGAAACCATCTAGACAAAGGTTACAGGTGGCATACATATGTAATTTTGTAGGTAAAAAACATGACGGTCTGTCACCGTTTTCAAGATCAACAAGCGGAAGTTTACAGATGAAACCAGTCATCCACAACGGGAAACCCAATCATTTTACACCTGTGTAAATCTGCTTACGGATATAAAAATACATTTAGACATTTTCGTAAGAAAAAACTGTCACCAGTTATAGATCTGAAATGTCAGGGCGCACAGTGTTCAACAAAATTTAGATTTATATCTAACCTATCTTGTAATGAAACAGTGAATCCCTTGTTGGTTTAGCTGTGTTATTCTTGTAAAACAAAACGCCCCCTCCAGTATTTCATTTTTATGTTCCTATCCCACCCCTACTCATTCTGTAGGCGAATCTTTGAAGCCGTTATGACGTTAACTGAAGATATATTGATGTGATCACGAAGACGATATCCAAATGGTATTCTGTTTTTATGTCATAATGATATATTTCAGAAATAATTGTTCTTTTTGTTGTTTATTGGTGTGTAAACTGCAGTTTTACAGACAATTTGAATTATGCGCGTCATTTAAAGTATCTGTTAAAATGCATTTTTAGGCTAAACGTACTCAGTACGTGTAGCCTATTGCGACTGCCTTTCAGACAAAATTTACCGATCCTGGCCCTCTCATTGGCTGAAATATCGAAAAGAGTTAGAGCCCTCTAGCGGTAATTTTCTGCGTAAATAATGCCGCGATCTTTCAAATCGCTTTTTTAAAAGCATCCAAAATTAGTTTATTTTTTTAATAGCAATACGATTACTATATATTAAAAAAAGAAGCACATTGTAGTTGAACTATTGATAAATTTTGAACAATATATTTTACGAAATTCTCGACATGACGTAAGCGTACAGAACACTGTACGTGCGAGTTGAGAAGAAGCTAGTCTGGGGGCTTGGTTTGAATTATCAACTAACAGCACTTATAAACAAACAAAACTTACAAACAGAACATCAATTTTGTTTTAATCCTTGTCGTTGTGGCAAGATCGTCTTAATATATAACATCACTTTACCGCGTAGACGTCATTGGCGTGACGTCATAAGATGGCGATCTGCACTGTTCACTTTTGAACGACTCTACCACGAAATGCTGTTTTTATATACCTGTGCGTGTCATTTACGGTGGGTACCAGTCTGACATTTTGCCATTATGCTGAAGTGCCCGTTAATATGAAAATTTGTGCCCTGTGTACACTCACATAAAGAGAATTCACGTCTGTTGTAACCGACCAGTTACTGTTCTTTGTTCGACCGTTCGGCCGTCTTGTTTTCGTGTCACTACATGTTTGCCACTTACAATTTTATAGACTACGAGAAAAGTTTCTCTTTGAACATTCAAATTCATTATCTTCACTATGTCTGAGCCCAGTACCCCGGCAGGTTCTAGCAAGCGGAAATCTCCGGACACTGTGTCCCCCGGAATGTCCGATCGCCCAGCCCACAAAAGGAGAAATTCCTTCTCGGGTGGAGAGGAGGGCCCTTCTCTCCAGCTTGACGTAGGTAAAGGCAAGACAATTGACCTTACGAGACTGATACAGTCAACCTTATCTAGTCCTTCATTTGTTTCCGGCATAGCACCTGCATGGGCAGAGACGTGCATACCTCATCTCCGGGAAACATTCCAATCAATTGTTCGTGATACAATGGCGGACATGATCTTACCACTTCAACAGACGATACATGACCAGGCCGCTGAAATCATTGAACTTAAACAGTCTAATGTTTCCCTCTCCACTAAGTGTTCGACTCTTGAGAACAAGGTTGATTCCCTCACATCTCAAGTTGAGGAACTCGAACAATACGGCAGGAGGAATAGCCTTCGTTTTCACAATGTCCGGTTAACCGGAAATCAACAGTCCTTCACTGACCCAGTCATTATTGACATTTGTAAATCCAAACTAAATGTTAATCTCCGACCTGAAGATATCCAGAGGTCTCATGTCATTGGAAGACCCAACCCAGATGGAAATCACCAAATTATTTGCCGATTCAATATTTGGAATCTGAAAAATTATGTGTACAAAAACAAAAAACTATTAAAGAATAACCCCTCTAAGCTCTTCATCACCGAAGATTTAACCAAATCCAGACAAGCAACAGTAAAGGATCTAGGTCGAGCTAAATGGGCTAAAACCATCGACTCTTACTGGACCAGTGATGGGAGGATCTTTAGAGACTCTGAAAAGATTCTCATCAAAAACATCAACCATCTCCATACCATCATCCCAACTCTCCGCAATGCCTGTGCATAAACTGTAAAGCAGTACTTACAGTACTTTGATTTCCTTTTACGCGAGTCGCAGCATCATCAGCATGATCCCACGTATTTCCATATTTCCGTTGGTACCTCGGAAATGATCATCGATTGTACGAACTTTTTAATCTACAATCATGTTGTAACACAAACAAGGCATACTTATCCTAAGTTGAATCTAAATAGCTTGCATAACCAAGCTGGAAAATAGTAATT